CAATGGTCCCAATCATCTGTAACATGGCCCAGGCAGAACAGTAACACCATGGCCCTGGTCAACAGACTGAAGATAACACCACCACCACCCATATGCTGCAGCAAGATGTTGCCATTTAGCAGTTCTCTGAAAGCATTTTCTTCTGCCATTTCTTTACTCAGAAATTAACTAAAAGGTACTCCTTTCTTTTAAGTGGTTTTCTGGATCCTGATACCTTCTGCAGGAGTGGGAAAGTACAGGTGCCCTTGTCTTAGATAACGTGCCTTTTACAACCACTTTTGCCCTTCTATATAAAGGCAATCGCCTTCTTTCAGGGATATAAATGCTAATTGTGCATTTTCAGAGCTGATTAGATATACATGTACATGCATGGATATAGGTCCTTAGCTTTAGTTTCCTGTAGTTGAAAATGTTGACTCAATCTGTAAAGGAAATCTACTACTCGCCTACTAAGAAACATTGCATAGCAAATATTGTTTTGCTTCTTTTGACATTTAGAAATCAAAATATTATGTTAAAAATCTCCAAGAAAGAAATCTGAAAATCATTAAAAGAGTTTGAAGTCTTGCTTTCATAAAAGATCTTGGCGTTTTTGAAACCTGAATGTTTAACTTGTCACCAAAGAACTCTGGACAACAAGTAGGAATATAGCAAAAGAAACCTAGACCTGCACTTAGCCTAACTTGGACTTGCACAGGTATTTCACTTTAACAAAAAAAATGTAGTCTTGGTGTTTTTTTTTTCCTTTTTTCTTCTTCCTTAATGAGACATTTAAACAGATCATCTGATAATGTTAGGAATTTCTCATCTTTTTGTCTGAAATAGTATTTTGGCAAAATTGACGTGATATTGTGAAATATTGCTTTAACATTGCCTTTTTAATTTGGAAGTATTCTGACATTTATTTTTTTTTTCAACCACTCTGGGTGTGACAGAAATTTTTAATGCATTTTCATCATGACTACATGTTTTTTTCCTATAATTGCAATATCCAGGCTGATTTCACAGGCAGAAAGTGGAAACCTGGCCTCACAAACAGACAAAGAAAAATCTGGCATTGTCTTTAGTATGGCAAGATTTTTCCACCTACATTTCCTGGAGATACCTCATTCTTGGCTCAGCAATTAAATTACTTGGTTTAAGGATTTTTTTTTTCCTGTATAGCAATTTATTTATTTCTACACAGACTAGATAGAGCGGATTATTATTATTATTATTATTATTATTATTATTATTATTATTATTATTATTATTATTATTATTATTATTATTATTATTAGAAAGCGTTTAACAGTTGTGCATTTAGAGTGTGAAAATTGTGGGTTCATCTGAAGAGAGGAGCAGAAGTTCAGGGCAGTTCTGCCTTGATCCTTAGCATTACTGCATCCCTATTACCAAGCACCGTTATCAGTATCCAGCAACAGGAAATCTTTGCTTCTGTATCCATATCTGACAAAATATTTTAAACAGATTCCTATTTCTTGACATTAAGCAATGAAACGTGAACACTTGGTAGAGCAGTGAACAGAGCACTGGGTTATTCTGGAACAGTACTGTGTCACCAAAAACCCCTCTCCTCTCAGCTAGGCTGGTTTTCTGGTTACTGGCACTCGTGGAGCCTGTTCTGCACTGCTAGGGATTAAGAAAAAATAGTGATGGAGAATGGTAGGCAGGCTAGGCACTAGCTACCCAAAAAAAGAACTGGCTCATGGGGAGGGGAATCGGTGCACCTTGTTGACCAGGACAACTGTCTTCAAAATCTTGTAGCAAATTCCCACGCAGAGTCTAGGTGTTTTTTCTACACCTTTTCACTGCTACAGCAGTGAGATTTGAGTTTAGATTGTTAGATTGTACATTCAAAACGAAACTACTGGAGTCAGCTGAGAGGACGTGTGATGAGATTTAGCTGAGGCTGAAGCAGTTCAATCAAATTTTTACCTTTGTCCTAGTCTTTCAGTAAAAGTAAGGCTCTTCTTCAAGAGCATATATTGTGAAACTGGTGACCACATATTGATTTACAAGACTTCATAAAAATTGGGCAAAACTTTATTTTATTTTCTTGCTTAATGTCAGGCCAATAGAAATCAGTATAAATCTCATATGATGCAAATAAAGAGTTACACAAGCGTACTCTAGGGACTTTTCTTATGCTGAACAGTGATTTATTTATTAACTTTTTGTCCATTTATGTCAATTGCCAGTAAGTCTGTTTTCTCTGTTGTTTCTAATAGCATGACTGGCACTCATGCATATTCAGAGAAAATTAATGGTAGCAGCTTTCAAAAATTTGGAAATGAGAGATTTCTTAGGAGACCATCAAGGTAATCTTGCGTCCCTGTTTAGTAAGTCTTTGATGAAACTGTCTGTGGTGATGCCAAACAGAGAGTGAGTTGTGATTATGAAACCTTTTTTAGAGCTTTCTGGCCATAAGCTTAGTCCTGACCATGATCTTTTCTTGCAGAAACACTGTACCTTCACGAGTTGAGGGTGTCTGTTGTTCACTGCACCAGCACTAGGAGGCATGATGAGGTATGTGTGCTTCTATATGACAGACATATCAGGCACCTGATCTAGTATATGAAAGTTTTATACTGAGCAGTGTCACTAGAAATGTTACTAAAAAAAAAAAAAAAAAAAAAAAGTTCTAAGTTATATGGGAAATTTGTGGGAGACACGAGAATTGAATTAATCAGTCTGGAGTCCCCACATAACCCACAAAATTCTCCTATTCAGAGACAAGCATCTAGAAAGGATTCATAGTGTACCTGAATAGAAGATAATGAACATTAAACTCCAGTGCCCTTATTTTCTCTCTCCATGTACTGAATGCTTTGTTCACCTTTTCCTTCATTTTCTATGTGGCTATAAGTAGTACATATTCAATCGCTACATCAAATGTACATTATTCTCACGGATACAGACTGTTTGTTGGGCATACCTGTAGCAGCTGTCACTAATTCCCATAGGCGGGTATTTATATGAAGTTATAAACGATTTATTTTTTCTTTAAGATGTGACACATAATGTCAAGGATGAATACTGACAAAAAAGCGAGCTGTCAGATACTGATTCGACAGGCTCAGGACTGCTCATCTGGAACTCAGGGCACCATGAGGTCAAGTACTTCCCCTTATTCAACCACACACAATACCCCTGGTTACTCTGTATTTTTAGTCTCAAACATTTTCTATCTTTGGTATTGGTTTTTGTTCCACCAACCATCCCAGTGTAAGAAAAGTTTTGAAGTGAAGAGCTGCCAGGAAGCTTCATTGGAAGATTTGTGGTATTAACCCAGACTTTACTGAGAGATTTGAAGCTGCTGGCACGAGGCACCCTTGTGCTCCTCTGGTAGACAGGCAAAGCCATATAAATCTGTACTTAAATCTTCTTTAAATCTGTATAAATCTTATTTCTACAAGCAGGTGGAGGTGACACATCCCTCAGGGAAGCAGCAGAAATACAGCATGTAGCAGAGGGATTTTCAGGGACCCTTTTTTAAGGGAGAGCTGCAGTGTATTGATAATCAGCCTCCCACATAGCTTGTGGTGCCCCTGAGGGTGGTAAGAATTTTAATGCCTTTTCAGGTCAGTTTCAGTGAAATCTGCATGAAGTTTGAGAAAAGATTTGTCTCTGATCTTCTCTTTTTGCAGTTCTAATCAATCAATGGATATGCTTAGGTAGACAGACCCTCCTCTGCTGTGCAATAACCCAGCCTTCACAGCAATGGGTCTGAACCTGAGAACCTCCAGGGGACATTGGTCACTGAGAAAACTGTCACTGACTGCCTCCAGTGCTCAGGCAAGTGTGGGATGTTTACCTGATTCATCTGAGATGCATCATCCCTCTTTGCTTGTAGAACGAAACATGGGTTAGATCTCTTATGAAGTTCTGAAGAGTGAGCTTTATTTTACTCATTGCTGGGGTATTTGTGTAGTGCATGAAAGTCAGCTACTGAAGCTTGTGTTTTTTTCTCCACCTTCAACAGGCACTGGAAAAACCAGGCACATCTGGATTTCCTTTTATAAAATGGAGAGGACATGAGAAAATTATTGAAGAGGGAGGAAACGTTTACAAATGGTAGCTATGGTTCTTCTCGAGCCAAAAAAAAAAAAAAAAAGGTACAGAGTAATGGCAGGAAGTGGTTCTTGAGGGAACAATTCTCCCAGGCTCTCATGCCATTTTAAGCCTTGATCACCTAAGCAGAACACAGCAGGTCTTGAAGGACCCGCATGGGCTGCGGGCTCTACAGAACAGTATAGGGGCATGCTGCCAGTCTGTCCAAGGTGGGGAGGGAGAAAGGGCATGTGTGCCTCTGGGGAGGTGCCTCTTCAGCAAAAGGCAGATATCAAAGAAACCTGTAAAGGACTACAGGTGACTGAACTGTTTCTCTGGCAAGTCCAAGGAATATTTTTTCTTTCCTTGACTATTAGGCAGAGGAGAAGCATTTTCAGCACTTTCCATTGAAAACAGCTGCAGCAAAAAAAGGTGAAAATAGCTCAGTATAAAGCACAAAGCCTGGGTGTGCTCCCAAGCAGAAGGTGAATAAAAGATACGCACAGTTGGGTAGCCTGCTAATCACTTGGTGGAAACATTTCTTAATTAGGTAACAAGCATCCCTAAATAACCTCCTAGAAAAATTCAAACACTCCTTCCCTCTTGGTTGGGTAGTTTCTTAAAGAGGCAGAGAAGCACTGCAAGACAGCAGAGTCTGTCAGCCACATCCATGCCACCGTTTTTCTTTCTCATGGTGGATTGTCCTCACCAGTGTACTGACAGGACTGTGGACTTCTGCAATGCTTTGTCCTTGGTCCTTCACCTGGTAAAGAATAATGGTTAGTTGGAGACAAAATGCTGGGGTTACTCTACAGCCATGTTTGCAAATACTTCCACCAAGCACTGCAGCAAATTACTAATAAATAAAAAAAAAAAAAAAAGTATGTGGCACAAAAAATGTCTCTTTTAGCTATTTTCAAACATTTCATGTCATTACATGAGAGCTGTGAAGTCCTGTGGGCTTCACAAAGCAATTGTGGTTCTTGTTTGCACCAGGGATGACAGCACACAGGCAGCAGGCGGGCAGGCTGCTGGCCAAGCAGACAGGACGAGGCTGTGATGAGTGAGGGGGAGGCAAAAAAATGGCTAAAAGAGGAACTGGGAAGGGGAATCTGCCCACAGGGAAACTTTTTTCAGCCAGCTATGTCACAGCACTCTCACTGCATGGCAGCAGCTGTGCTGACCACAGGCACTGCCCTGATGACTCGGGGTCCTCAGCACATGCAGTGGCTTCCCAGCACAGGCAGGCAGCAACGAGACTCTGCCAGGGGAAAGCACAGAGATGAAGACATCAGGACGCCAAAACAGATGGGAGACTGTGCACACAGCAAAGCTGTGGAGATCTGCCAGCCAGATGACAGTGGAGTGGTGGGAACTGAAGGCATCCTTCGGGGGTATCAGCTGGTGTGCATGATGTGCTGGCTCCAGCCACAGGCTTGATTCTCACCTGAAATTTTCTAGTAGTCATAGCTTTTGAAATGGATGGAAGTAACCCATGGCATTTTGGAAAAAATATGACAATATTTTCACGTTACTTGGAGAGATGTGGCTGGAAGTATGAATGATGTCTGAAACATCTGACCCTGAGCTGAAATAAGGAACAATTGAGACTTATGTACAAGCAGTTGAGCCTCAGGTACACAGACGTGTGAGAGACTCCTAGGTAAGGTGTCTGAGGAACAAGAATTATTTTCACGTGGGAAAGGAAGAGGTTGCATGAATCATGGTAAACTTCCAACTTAGATTTTACAGTAGTGAGGGTTGAGACAGTGGAGATACCATCTAGAAGTTGATAGAATTTGTTTTTGAAACGCATATCCGTGCAAATGTTATACTTTGGCCAAAAAAAAAAAAAAAAAGAAAAAAAAAAGTGACCAAAGACAGAATAAAGCACTCTGTTTAGCAAAACAGCTGCATGATGTGTTAAACCCAGTCTTGTGATGACAAGCCACATGAAATCTGTGCAGATAAGTCATCACCAGTGGCTAGTTTCCCCTGTGTCTCACTGACAAGGGGAGGGGAGGAGGAGTTTGTGTAATTAATAGGCAAGGGAAAAGTAGGGGGCATTTTTTAAAGTCATCCCTGGTTACTCTCAAGTGGGTATTGATTGAATGATATCAGATATGCTTTTATGTCCGTATTCCTCTGGTTAGAGGAATTTGGACATGATCCAAGCAGAAGTAGAGGAGCTGCTAGGTGGCCCAGTGGTAAAGCATCCCACCCACTGCAGCATCCTTAGCAGGGAGGAGGAGGTGAGACAGGGGGAGACCCTCTGCTGAGATGAGCCCCTGCACTGCCAGTGGGCGAAGAGAACAGACTTGTCCAGCCTGGGTGAGTACTTAAGGGTGGATTTTTTTAAGATTTTCACATGTGGTTTTAGATTAAGCCAGAATTAGGAGGACAAAAATGACTATCTGAAGGTTGGAAAAAATCACCTGTCATTTGTTCAGGAAACTCAGGTTATTCTGTGACTATGCAAGCGTGGTTTCTGGGTGTGGTGTGACTTATCTTTTCCTGTTTCTCACTGTTATTCAGTGAGATGATGTCTTTAAATTGCAGTTATTAACACTATGTGGTAAACATAATTTTGGTGACAAAATAAGTAATGTATGCAAGATCTCATTTTCCTCTCACTATTTGTTTGGTTAGGTAACTTATTTATAGAAGAAGGTGAGGTACAATATAAATACACACTGTCCTTTTCTTTATCAGCATTTCAGTAATATTGTATTGTGTCAGGCAACAGCTGTATGTTAAGGCTTTGACATTATATACAATGACATTGCAATGTTGTTTTGACTGAGGTAATTTTACAACGGTGAGCTGCAATCTTAGTTTTAAAAAAAAAAAAAAAGAAAACCAGCAAAACACTGCTTTCTCTTTCTTCATCCTGTTCATAGTTTTTCACGGAAAATCAGTTACAGTTTTTTTTTGTTTGTTTTGTTTTTTTTTTTTGTAATTGCAGTTTCATTTAAATTACAAAGCCTGAAAATATTTGGCACACAGATGCTCTGGCTCACTGTTGTGAGCAAGGGTAAGCACAGTCTTGCACACCTGTCTGTCCCACGCGACCAGTGTGGTATAAATATGTTTATAAAGGCTTATATCTCTAACTCTCTGTAGAATCATTTTGAGAACGGATGGAATGGATGAACCAGAGTTTAAAGGCAAAAAGTTGTGTTCTTGTGGGTGAATGGGGTGGTGTCAGTGGTTAGAAACTTCTGCCTAGCTCACTCTTCACGCACAGCTTGGGCATGAGTGAGCAGCCTGGCTAGGCAGGACAGGCACTGCTGAGTTTCATGCTGGAAACATGCTTGCCTGGGGACTTTTTAAAACTTTTTCTTTCAAAATTCACAGGAAATGAGACAAAATCTAACAAATAAACAAGCAACAAAAAAAACAAAACCCCAAGAGATTCTGCTAGGCTCTGTATGTGGAAGCAGCAAAGAGATTTCAAGAGGTTTTTCCACGCATCCTATAGACACTGGGCTGTATTTTAGGTCATGCTGGGGGAAGTCATGGAAGTTGAGCTGAGCCATGCATGGTTGCCATGTGGAGCTGCCCCTGTCCTCCAGCAGCAGGAGGTATATTAGCTTTGACCTGGTGCCAGTGTGTCCTGCTGCACTGGCTCCCAGGACACAGGGGCAGTGCTGGGGCTTGCTGGCATAGAGAGTACAGGAAAAGAAATGGGAATAAATCAGAAGATGGAAATAACTAATTAAATGCATGAAAAAGAAATACGTGATGAGCAGACTCATCCACTCCTGGCATTGTTCAAGAGTCCTTGGCTTGCTCTCTTGCCTTGCCCCATCTCCCCTACCCCACAGCAGGCCCAGCCCCAGCAGGTAACAAGGAGGGAAAATGGCTCCCCACAGAAACATCTCAGCCCTGGTGGCTGTGGTGGCCTCCTCTGTGGGCATGGCAGCGTAGGTTCCACAGGCAGCGTGGTGGGGAGGAACAAGTGTCACAAGACAGAGGGGAAGGCCATCTCCTGCCATGCTTTACCATAGCAGCTGTAGCTGTGCCACCAGGATAGTGCCTGCCAGCCAAACCCAGGAGTCAGCTTGTGTGGTTCTTCTTGGCAATTAATTCTTTTTAAAGAGGCAAATCTATAATCTCTTATAGTTATGAATAGGAAATGCCCTCTTTGCAAATGTCCGTGTAAAAGCACCATTTACACTCTTCTCAGGTGAAGTGTCCAGAGAGAAAATTTCCTCTTCCGACCTACCAGACCCAAACCATTTGGAGAAAAATAGTCCTGAGGTGTCCTCGGTCCTGGGAGTTGCAACCCGGAGGCACTGCAGCTGAGAAGGACAGGGAAATAGAATCATAGAATCGTTAAGGTTGGGAAAAAACTCTGAGATCATTTAATCTACGATCCACATACCACCAATATTGCCCTCTAAACCGTGTCCCCAAGTACCACATCCACCCTTTCCTTCAACACCCCCAGGTACGGTGATGCCACCACTTTCATGGGCAACCCGTCCCAATGCCTGACTGCTCTTTCTGAGAAGAAATGTCTCCTCATTTCCAAACTAAACCTCTCCTGCCACAACTTGAGGCCATTCCCTCTAGTCCTACCACTAGTTACCTGTGAGAAGAGGCCAACCCCCAGCTCCCAACACCTTTCTTTCAGGTAGCTGTAGAGAGCAATGAGGTGTCCCCTGAGCCTCCTCCTCTCCAGACTAAACAACCCCAGTTCTCTCAGTTGTTCCCCATCGGACTTGTGTTCCAGGCCCTGCACCAGCTTCATAGTCCTTCTCTGGACTCACTCGAGCACCTTGATGTCCTTCTTGTAGTGAGGGCCCCAAAGCTGAACACAGCACTCGAGGTGCGGCCTCACCAGAGCAGAGTACAGGGGGATGATCACCTCCCTGCTCCTGCAGCCAGGATGCTGTTGGCCTTATTGGCCACCTGGGCACACTGCTGGCTCATGTTCATCAACCAACACTTCCAGGTCCTTTTCCTCTGCACAGCTTTCCAGCCACCTTGCCCCAATCCTGTAGTGCTGTAGGGTTTTTGTGACCAAAGTGTAGGACCCAGCACTTAGCTATGTTGAACCTCACCCCATTGGCCTCTGCCCATCAATCCAACCTGTCCAGGTCCCTCTGCAGGACCTTCCTAACCTTCGGCAGATTGGCACTTCTCCCCAGTTTGGTGTCATTTGCAAACTTACTGAGGGTGCAGTCAATTCCCTCATCTAAATCGTCAATAAAGGTATTAAAAAGGATGAGCCCCAATACCGACCCCTGGGGAACACCACTGGTGACAGGTTGCCAGCTGGATTTCACTGCATTACCCACTACTCTCTGGGCCCGGCCATCCAGCCAGTTTTAACCCAGGAGCAGGCCCCTGACCGGAGCTGCAGCCCATGGAGAAGAGACCATGCATGAGCAGGGGGTCTGGGGGGAGCTGCTGCCTGTGCTACGGAGGCGTGTGGGAGCAGTGTTTGAAGAGTTGCTGCTTGTGGGCAGCCCCCCAGGCTCAGTTCAGGAAGGACGGCATCCATGGGAGGGACTCCATGGGGAGCAGGGGCAGGGAGTGGGGGAGATGAAGCATCAGGGACTGACTGCAGCCTCCATTCCCTGCTCCCCTGTGCTGCTCAGGGTGGGGGGGGGGGAGGATACAGAAGAGGGTGGGTGAGGGGAAGGAGTTCTTGTTTTGTTGTTTTGTTTTGTTTTTGTTTGTTTGTTTGTTTTTTAGTTTCTCATTGCTCTAGCTTGTTAGTAATAGGTAATAAATTTTATTAATCTCCCTATGTTGAGTCAGTTTCATCCATGATGATAATTGTTGTGATCTACCTGTCCTTATCTCAACCCTATTCCATCATATTTTCTCCCCCTTTCTCTCTGAGCAGGGGGAGTGAGTGGTTGTGGTGGAAGCTCAGCTGCCCAGCCGAGTAAAACCACCATGCCCTCCTGACTTCACCAAGAAGAGAGAACTCTACCATTTTGTGGTCGCTCTGCCCAAGACAGCTCCTGACCACCACATCTCTCACGAGTCCTTCTCTGTTTGTGAACAGGAAGTCTAGTGGGACACCCGCCTGGTAGGCTCACTTACCAGCTGTGTCAGGATGTCGTCTTCCATACACTCCAGGAACTTCCTAGACTGGTTCTTCTGGGCTGTATTGTATTGCCAGCATATGTCTAGGAAGCTGAAGTCTCCCATGAAAAAGAGTGCTGATGATAGCATGACTTCTGCCAGCTGTTTGTAGAATGTCTCGTCTGTCTCTTCATCCTGGTTTGGTGGTCTATAACTGACCCCCAGCAGGATGTCTGGCTTGTTGGTCTTACCCCGATCCTTACCGATAGGGGCTTGACTTTATCATTATGAGCCCTGAGCTCTACAACATCGAAACACCCTCTAATACAGAGAGCCATGCCAATGTCCCTCCTTCGTTGTCAGTCCCTTCTGAAGAGCTTGTAGCCATCCATTGCAGCACTCCACTTGTGGAAGTCATCCCACCATGTGTCAGTGATGGCAAGTAAGTCATAATTTGCTTGCCACACAAAGCTCCATCTCCTTCTGTTTGCTGCACATGCGTTTGTACTGGTGTAGATGACCTTCAGCTGAGCCATTCAAATATAATAGACAATGCTCTTGAGAAAAAGCGTTCACAGACTTCCCATGGATTATCTCTTTTTTGCTTATAGCCCTATGTAAATCTCATTACAAATACATGAATTGCTGTTTATAAAATTAATGCTTTCTTCCTGAAAGTTTTCAGTGACCCAATGGAGGAAGCCCATAACACATTTTTTCTCTCTTATTTAGCATAAGAAAATATTTGTTTTTTTCTTTTTTTTTTTTTTTTCAACTGTGTTTGCAGTTTGTTTAGCCTTTGTACAACATAACAATTGAGTGGAACTACAAATGAAGGCCATCACATTTTTTAGGTTGAGTGTCTGAAGGATCATTTTCTCTGCTGTGCTGGAACAGCTCAGTAGCAAGAATATGGCAGTGGAGCTTGATGAATTGTGCAGACACGTAGGAGGCGGGAACTTTTTGCATTACCACATAATGCCAAAACCTGACGGTTGAACTGTAACCCAGTACACACTGTGTGTCATCCATTTGTTCATTTGACATCTGAGTTGCTTATAGCATGAACACTTCTCTCCCACATACAGGGATTGAAACTCCACAAAGCTGAGCACCAGATGGCAGAAGATACAGTGGTTTACATATTTTGGATAGAGGGTAGGTAAAAAAAGATTGCCTGGCAACCTTTTGCTAAGCAAAACTTTGCTAAGGGTTTGACTTTGTTTATTTTTCATGGGGTTTAGATTGGTACACAGACACTACAAAAAGTTAATGACATTGAAGAGTTTTTTATACTGTAGGTCATTTTGTGCATGTGTAATGTGATTAGATCTTTTACAATATAATTCCACTTTACAAAAAGAGAACACAAACATGTAGAAGGATGAACTTAGGAACACTTTGGATATCTTCTCTAGCCAAATTACACTCACACTGAGGGAAAATCAAAGGTTAGCAAAGCTAAAGGCAATAAAGAAATTTTTATCATCAAATTAATCTCAGCAGCAGTAAATATCTCCTCTGGAGATAAACAATTCTATAAACATACAGGGAAAAAGTGTTCAGTAAACATCCTGGTTCTGTATTTAATGTTCCCCTTAAATTATTAATGCAATGGAAAATACTGTTCTTGTGTGATATAAGTAAATAACATCATTTCTTCTTGAAGGCAACTTACACCCACAAATCCTACAACAGTTGTTTGAAGAAGAACGAAAATAGCTCATGTCATTTTACGTTAATTAATAGAATAAAACACCTTTTTTATTACAAAAAAAAAAAAGATTCCATGAATAGCTGACAGTAGTTACTAAAATGGTTGATAAAAGTGATTATATAGACTTTTGTGAGGTATTTGATTCAATATTATACAACGTTCTGATAGAAAAAATATAGCAATTCTCACTGCCAGAAACAGCACACACATTAAACTGAGAACTGACACCCTGGCAAAATTAATAGATTGGCAATAAGAAATCTTTAGCACATGACTTATCTAGTGATTTTCTGCAGAGATCAGTGCCAGATTTTATTTAATTCAACAGTTTCATCTGTGGCCAGGAAGAAAATATTAAGTCATTGCTGATAAAAAAAAAAAAAAGAGAAAGATTGGTAAACTGGTAAAAATGGAGCAGACGGAAGAGTCTGTAAAACAGACAGTGTAAGATAGTTGGGTTAGCAAACTAGATGCACTGAAACAAATGCATTTTAATACAGACAAATATAAAAGGGGTTTTATATCCTGAAAACAACAAAGAGGGTAGGGGGGCGCAATGGGCAAATATCTCAATATGTGTTCACTGTTTGTTGCAGGGGTAAAAAGAAATTATGCAGTTCTTGTATGTATAAGTAAGCTAGGAAAAGAGGTGTTTTTGCCCCTGTATTTCTCATTGCTTAGCCTTTTTTTTTCCATTTTAATAACTTTTTACTGGTACTTCCCACTTTTCACTGAGATCGGAATTTTATCTTTATTAGGAACATTTTCCACTGCAAAAAGGGTGTTTATTCATTGATTATGGCAATAAATCACTGCAGAAAATAGATAACAGCTAGCTAGAGAGAAGATGAACTTCTCACTTCACTTCCTTGTTCATGCCACAATGGTTTATTCTCATCTCCCTTGATAACTTTGAAAACCTCAGAGTAAACAAATTGGTCATCTATTTCCCCCTCAGTTTATAACATTAATCATTGTATAAGCTGGATACAAATTCCCTGGTACATCTTGATCTTTATGATTCAAAGAAGCTAAACATGATGATCTGCAGCCAACTGAGTGAGGCGTGCAGAGAATTGTGGCCCAGTACTTTTTCATGTAGTTTGACAACATTTCAGATCTTTTGCTCAGTTAACAGGAGAAATTGATGATGGAGCCAGGTAGTCCTTTGATGCAATTCCACCTACTGCAAAGGAAAATCTTCTTTTCCTGAATGCATTATTAATGCAAGCACGGCATATATTGTCCTTGGTAACAATGCCAAGTATCTTGCAGTTAACACTTACTCCAAACAGCCCTTCTCTGATATTACTGCACTCTGATTTTCTACACTGGGATCACAACACACCTGAGCTGGAAATTATTTAGGAATTCAAATACACTTCTGTAACACTGGTAAGCTAACTGTGTAAATGGTAAACAGAGCAGGCTTATGATTTAGCTGATTGCTTAGTGTAGAGACACGTATCTTGTTCTACATGTTCATTTTGGGCAAGTTTCATCTTGGTTCCTCTATATCCCATGGAGTACCTGAAAGAAAACAAGATAAAGTTAGTTCAGAAAAATTCTAGAATCTCTAAAGTTGGGACTCGTCTGATCCCAAAATTACATTGTTGGTGGGGAGCGAGTACATCATCAATACAGATAGAAATATTAAGTATAATAATTTAAGTATTGGATCTGTCACCTCAGGATCATATTATAATCATTAATGAGTATAATCTCATAACTATTGAGGTGAGTTAGGTGAGTGTTAGTTCTTCTTTCTTAGTTTCTTGCAGAACAAACAGATACATGGAAGATGTGAGAGGTTACTTCCCCCAGCTATGTGAGGCATTTAAATGCCTAACAGCTGGCATCAGGAGGCATAAATTGCCATACATTATAATGATTTCTGTGGTTTGCCCATCATCAAAATCTGAGTAGTCAGTAAGCTACAAAGTAAAAGGTAATCTGTGCATTGCCCTGATTTTCTAACTTTCTTCAAGACGAAACATCACCTTAGAAATGGTGTGTGGGATACATCTCATCAAATGTGTCACCTTTACAGTGTAAACATCTACATCTGAACTAGTCATCAGAATGCTACTTATAGTCAAGGGAGAGAAGGACAAGCAAGCTGAATTCCACCCTGGGTGTCTGCACCACAAAAGCAGAATGCCAGAGTGCGGCTTACACCAGCTGTGGTCATCCACTTACCCTTGCCTCTCATATTTGCTATCCTGAGATTCACCGGAAAAAATTACAAAGAGTATCCAGGGGATTTCCACGCAGTCCCTGATGCTATCTTTAGAGTGCTCTAATGCAGTTTCAGAATAAAGAACTTGTTTGTACTTTTTCTTGTGTCTACTTGTCTCTGCTTCACCCAGCTCAAAGCAAGAGAGTTTATAGATTAAACACTTACTGGTTCCACAAAGTTATCAGCTCCTGTTTTTGCTGTCCTCTCTGATGTCCTGCAATTATTTCCAAGTTATTATAGGCTTTGATGGATTAATTTTATATACAGATGATATTTTCCTCATTGTGGTGTTAAAACAGACTTATTTGACCTTTTATAAATTAGCATGTATTTTCAAATAGCTTGTTTCTTTTAAACTCTGCAAAAAATAAGTCATGATCAATATGATTTAGTTACACCTCCCCTAGCACTGAAATACTTAGTTGAAATACCCTGAAACACAACATGAAGAGCAGGCCAATAAAAAGAGGTTGGGAACAATTACTCTGCTGACAGCTATGCAACAGATGTTACTATTACAGGCTGAAACTTCAATGTAGAGAATAAAAGAAAAAAAAAAAAAAAAAAGAAAAAAGAAAAAAGAGAGAGAGATGAAACCTACCTATATTTTCTTTATTTGGTGGGGCTTGATGAGAGCTTAATTCAAAATTTTTTCCAAATAGGAGGCGTTGATAACTCAAAAAATTTAAACACTGTGAAATATAGAAGGTAAGCCCTTTGCAGAACTTGGCCAGACTTCTGCATTTCTACAGATGTAGCCATCTGCAAGATGAAGAAGACAAGCACAAAGAGGAGCATTAGGGGCTGGACGTTTTCAACAAGCTGCACTTGGGATCCTCAACTTTGCCAAAGACCACGGAGCAGAGGAATGTGTTCCCCCCAGAAACTGACCCAGGAGCACCCTGCTCCACTCTGAGGGTGGGGGAACAGCGAGACAGAAGCCATCAGAGGACAGAGGGAAACCACAGGTACCTTGGGGAGTTGAAGCTGGAAACACTGTGCCACCTACAGCACGTGTAGACACTTCTATAAATGCATGCATAGCTGTGCAGTGGAAAGTATCATGAAGCTCTGCACAATAAAGATCAGCTTGTTCTTGGTCACAGCTGCTGGTGGGTTACTATTCTGGGAGAGGAAAGCCAGCTTGGATGAAAGAACGTGTGACAGTGAGGTAACTCAACGTGCGGGGTGGTGCGGCTGTTGTAGCCGAATTATAATGTGCAGACACATGGAAAACTAAAGCCCCGAGGAGAACTGAATGCACAGTGTAGCCCGGTGTGGACTGTCTGATTTAGCGCCCATGCAGGGAAGAGGAGCAAAGCTCAAAGTCTGAAGTAATGGCAAACCGAACTGAAAGTTGGTTAATTCAATAGCGAAACTCCAATAATCCTGAAATTCTGCCTTAATTGGTCTTCCCTGCTGAGTGCCTAAAAGAAAGAGTGAGAGGAGGAAAATTCTGGTGATGAATACATTAAGTTTGACATTCACGTAGACTGGGGTACGGCTGAGCCTGATGGGCCTGAGCAACCTGCCTGCTCTGAGTAATGCATTTTGAACTTACACGGTGCTCACTACTGCTATGACTCAAATGCACAGGAGTGCTGGCAAGCACCGGAGGCTTTCCTGCCTCCAAGGACCCAGCCCAGCACCAGCCTTAGCAGAGAGCAGCTCTGCCAGGGGTCACCATTCATTGCTCTATCACCACCACCCAAACTTCCCTTTTTTAAAAAAAGTCTCTGGAAACGATGACTTTTTTTCTTTTAGGCAAATGTAGGCTGGTCTAGACATGCACGTGATCATGAAAAAGCCATGTAACAACATCTCTTTCTGCTAGGCTGTGCATTAATAATACATAAAAAAAAAAAAAAAATGTGATCTCCACCCTCAAGGAGAAATTAGTTTTGTCCTCATTGCAGGTAGTACGTTGCAGGCTGAATAAGCTGTAACCTATCACACTGAAATATCAGTCTGACTACTTCCCTTGCTCTTTAAGTGGCTGTGCATTAAGGATCACAGAAAAGGCTGAGATGCTTTATTCCCATTAAACTGCAACAAGTAACCAGTGCAAGATGTGCCAATATTTAAAAGAGGATTTAACAATAAGGTGTGCTTAGATCGGCATATCTTTGTGGCACGTGGGTTGCAACAGCAGCAATTTAATATATATTTATTTATTTATTACTCCAGAACATGTAAAAGGAAGTAAGAGACTATTTTTATAAATAGCCTGGCTAAATTCCCATCCTACTAATCCTACAGAATATCTGGAGTAGAGTTGGAGTAAAGTCAGTCCAATTCTCAAAGGTTTACACCAGTATAAACGTTATCAGAGGTGGAAGTAAAATGTTTTCCAGGCATCACTTCAGTGCTCTTCACACTCTTCTGTTATGAATGTCAGACGAGAGGAAATGAAATGACTCCTGCAGTCATTACCTTTAGCAAGTGGGAATTCTGACTGTGTGATCTCAGGCTACATAACACTTAATGTCATGGACAAATTTGGTCCCACAGTAATCAGCAGTGCACCTCAGGGTGATAGAAACATTTGTTTAAAAGTGCAAAACACTGCATAGCTGCCTTTCTTGGAGCACATCCCCAGCTCACTAGCTTTGCTCTACATTGTAAATGAGAAGGGAATTTTGACCCCTTCTTGTGACATTGTGGCTTATTAATGTTTTTAAAAAGCCACAGTGGCTTTTTAATTTTTTAAAAAAATTTAGTAGCCACTGTTTTGGGAATTGGACTAACTCACAACGTGTGCTCAATATTAGATCATATGAATCCCTTGAAATGAAGCCATAATGACAGAACAAAACCTAAGCCCCCTTCCTCCCCCCCCATGGTAATTCACCAGGGGAAATCTGACTTCCTGCCCAACACGTATGTGTACTAGGGCTTAACCAAAAAAAAAAAGGGGGGGGAGGGGGTGTTGGGGGGAGAAGAAAAAAAACCCGAATCAATAACAAAAAGAATCATTGCTGTCAGAGGTCAGGGGGTGGTGGGAGGGGGGAGAGATTACATACATGGTATTTGGTTTAGTGAGGCTGAGGCTGGAGGAGGGGGTAGTCTGGATAACATGCCGTAGGCTGTCTTTCAATATTAGACACAGGGAGTTTTTGAAAATTAACATTAGTACAAAAAGAAGTCATCATAAAACTCCCAGGCAAAATTACCTGCTCTTATTTCAGGTTTCTGTTTGACAAACATTAAAGACTTTTTTTTTTTTTTTTTTTTTTTTTTTAATTTATATATATAAAGGATTTTTTTTTTTTTTTAGTGATCATTTATCTCGACAACTCGAGATGCCACCACACCGGGTTCACCAGGTTGCCTGCAGAGCGCTCAGTGGGACAGGGCTGTGTCAGCCCTTTGCCAGGGGTCCTGTGCTGCTGGCAGGCCGAGGAGGATGGTGATGGAGGGCTGACACAGCTCCTGGTGGCAGTCAGTGGCCATAGGGCCACCTGAGGAGGACTGCCTGGCCCAGATCGGCTCAGCTTAGCCTGTTTTGACTCAGCTTGGCCTGGTGTGGCTTGACCTGGCTGGGTTCGGCCTCTCCACTCATGCAGGAGCAAGGCAGGCCTGTGAGGTACTAGAGTGTTTCTCTCAACATAACAGCCAGATGAATAACCCCTGTGAGAGCACTCTTCTCCAAAATATCCATGGGTGGCCAAGGAAAGGAGAGTTAACGAAGTAGCATCTCAGTTAAGACACTTCCAAGCATTTTGTCTTTCCTCATGTGCAGCTAGCACCGCCCTTCTGAAGCAGGGAAGGGCTCGTGCCACCAGTATTTGTCACCGGTGTGGTAGAAAGCATTAGTGCAGGGCTTACTGAACAAACTTAGGTTAGCTTGTTAAATATGGGCGGCTGAGAAACTGAGCACCTGGATGTAAAGACACCTGTACCACTAACTGCTCATTTTAAGGGGCCTCACCGTTTTGATATAAACTGAAATGGTAACTGCTCAGTGTTGTGGTTTTCTATTTTGGTGCTGTACATGTTACGCTGTTGTGTCCTGCTCAGGTATGCTGGATAAGATTATGCAATTGCTGCTCCCACATAGCTCTCACCTAGACAAAACTTGCACCGTGCTAAACTATGTGTTTTACGAAAACTGAATGCATTTTTACTTTTTTTCAATAAAGTAGACTACTTCCGTTACATAGAAACATAAAAGCCCCTGCTGTGCCTGTTTGGAAGAGGCGCTTTGAGGCAAACATCCCAATCCCAGGTGAGAAGGACAATTTAGTGTATCCAGAGAGCTTGTATCTCACTCTGGGGTCTTTTTGCTGTGTGTATCCTAATCACTGAACTGCCTTCTCTCTTATTCCTGTCACTGTCAGCGTAAAGGCCATAGTTCCCAGTTATGGGTGATTTAACTGACTTTCAGTGCAATAAAAGTTGCCAAACTACAGCTCCAGATAAAGTCGCTTATATTTAGCTGACGAGCCATGCAGCTGCATTTGCATCAATAACATAGGGTAAATTCTAATTAACCAGGTGATGCATAAGACCTGGAAATTGTTGCAAATGATTAATTTTAGGTACCAAGACATATCAGTTTCACAGTGATCCAAAATCTAAAACCTTTGGAAACTACTACTACAGGAAACATATGCAGATGTGTATCCATTTCTGCTGAGCACCTGCCATTTCTTGCTCCCAGCAGAAATGACAGCAATTCCCAAAAATCAAAGAGTCTCCTTTAAGCAAAGCATTTCCAATTTACAGTCAAAGCATCTGAACAAAACCAAATCTTAGCGACACTGACCCAAGCTATGGGTGCTGTGCCATGGCAGCCTCAGATCACTTCAACCCACTGGTCCGTGCCCCTGTGAGCCAGCATGATGCCTATGCCAGGGGCCTTCCCAAAGCAGTTTGGATATAGCCACCCTCCCTCCACCGGTAGGAGACTTCAGTGTCAGCTTTGTGGCCTGAAAAGGGCCTCAGCTGGCCTCTCACTCTTCAGGTCCCCAGGCTGATGGCTATGTCACCGCTACACTATTTCTGCTCCAAAGGGTGTAGGACTAGGCCCAGGTTTTGTGAAAAAAAAAAAAAAAGTGTTGTTTCTTTTTTTAATTGTTTTGTTTTGTTTTGTGTTTTCCTCTTTGAAGTAACTTCAGACACTTCCAAGGAACGGGGTGGTATAGATTAGGACGGTCTGCAGCATGTGCAGGAACACCAGGATGAGACAGCTGGCAAAAGAGTAACCACTTGTGACTCCATCAGGCACATAAAAAGCAGATATGAGGCCACTCCTACATTTACAGTAACTCAATTAATGTTTTTCATTTCCATTTATTACATTCCTAATTGCTCCACGCCGCCTGTGGGTCAGCTGGCAGCTGTACACTAAGCTGTACACGAACTTGCATGGCAAGCAACTCCTGACAGGCTAATCGAATAACACGTCCTGACTTCAATAACCAGAACTGTTCTCTTCTGCTCTGCAGCCTGGACTGGACTCTGTACAGGATGGAGATGAATCCAACCAAGAGCAGGAGGAAAGGATGGGTGCTTGGCTCGCAGGCTGTCAATATGATGTCTTAAGCTTCTGTGTGAAGGTGGAGCATCACAGCTGGCACCGAGAGTGAAGCAACAGGACCTCTCTGTTGTTGCTTTACCTGAAAAGCCCACCATGCTAGGTCCTGCCTGGGGCTCCTGGAACACACCAAGTTAGAGATCTAAGAGTGTAAATGTTTCCTCTAACTGACGACATGTTATTTAGTGCTCCCATCCCTGCCCATATGGATAGTACTTTATGGCAAAACAAAGACTTGCCCAGCAGAGCACTGAAGCGTCAGAAGATAAATGTATAAAAATTTAGTAACTGCTTTCTCCCATGTCATGTTACGTATTAATACAGATGTTATATCTCTAAGAAGTCTAGAAACATAGGTAATATTCAGATCCCAGTCAGGAAGAATTACTGAAAACATCTAAAAGTATCCTTTCCATAAACAAAATGAATATGTAAGCACATCTGGCACAGCAATCCTTTACTGCACCATGTTATAAAGTACTCCAGAGCAATGAAAGTAGTTAAGCCAATTGTTTTATATTAGTTTTAGCTTTATGCTCAGAAAACCATCTATGAAAGATTTGCATCTCAGCAAAGAGACTTCTATAAGTGGTCACAAAAAAGGGAGAATCCAAATAAAAGTTCTCTCTTGCAGAACAGGAAGGAAAAAAATACTTGAACTTGAGGAGGTGTCTGGCTGGGCAGACAGCAGAAAGCATCAGAGGACCAAAATCCCCTAAGGCCATTAGGGAAATACCAGAGTATTAAAAAAAAAAAAAGAAGGCACCATTAGCTTTAATGTTCCCACACAAGTCAGTCACAAGAGACAGGCTGGGTGCTCATTTACATACAAGCTTCAGAATGAGACAAGCCTCATGTGACTTCAAAGTTATGAGTAATGGGCCCAGAAAGCAGCAGAAAAAAACAGTGGGATTAGGGACATTTCAGCTGAAACCCTTCCCCCGTGTAGAAGTGGCAGCAAGTGGAGCTAACCTACCTCCCCCTCCCCACTGCTGCCTCCCCTGAGGGTGTTGCGATGGAGGCCTTGCCTCTCCAGGTAGCAGGGGCTGTCAGCTGCCCTCATCTTGGTGAGCCTCGTTGCAGGCATCCCTGCCAGGATTTGCTTGCTCTTTCAGCACCAAGGTTTCTGCCTGGTGTGGGAGTTCGGTGAATTGGGCAGACATGAGTTGTTAAGAAAGGGGAAGGAAGGAATGGATAAACAGAGTCACAATCTGAAAAACAGGAATACGCTCTGAAGATTGGGTTGGTAAGTCCAACACGCTCTGCTCTGGGGAAGCATTCTACTTCTAGCTTGTCTGGTCTGAAAGGATGGGATGCTCTAGTTCAGAGGGAGGGGGGAAAACTGCAAAACAGCAGTGTGTATGAAGGTGGACAGGAACCCAGGAACATGGGCTAAAGAGCTGCAGGAATTACAAGCACTGGCTGACCCATCACAAAAGCACTCAGGAATGTAACATCTGTGTGGTTTCAACTGGGAAGGCACTGAAGCTTGTGCAAAGTGTGCTCCTGAACAAACAAAGTGTGACAGGGTTAACCAGAACAGAGAGCAACTGACCAGGAGGGGGGGAAGCAGCCAGGGTCACCTCTTAGGAAAGGGGCTCCTGTCCTGACCCCACCAGGAGGCTTTCAGGCACATCTCATTTTTCTTTCAGGCCATGGGCAACATGTAGAAGTCACGGTGGTGTAACAGCATTGCCTGTCCAGAGAGAGGTCTGAAAAATCCTCATGCCATGCTGAGGGAGAGTTACAACCCAGAAAGCCCCTGGCAGGGTGGCTGGGTTCAGACAAGTTGGTGACAAGAAAACCCCACTTTCAAGTACCATTCAGCCAAGCAGTTAGCTTTTCAGGAGCGATTGAGCAAGCCAGATGCCAAGACCAGAAGGCAAAGGGCTTCCCTGCTGCTCATGGTGAGAGAAGGGGCCAGGACTGGCCTGGGCCTCTGCCCCTGCATGCGTGGGGGTCACTCGTGGCCATCACTACCACCCAAGGTGACACGCAGTCAATGTCAGCTGGGAACCCATGGCATAACTGGTGGATGAATGAAGAAAGGAAGTCAAGTCAGTCTGGCTTAGCATCCCTCACAGCCTGCTCCGGCCCCATCCTTACCCTGCCACACTCCGCTCTGGGTACAGGAGACTGAGCACCCACCCCCAGAAGCCAAGTCCTGATGCACACTGACTGCACGGGTGTCCCACAATTTACCAACAGCTCTTCCTGAGAGGACACTGAAGCTAGGAGACAGTACGTGGAGACACACAGCAAGTCATCACCTCAAAGTGCTTGGCTACACAACCTGAACCAGGGTGCATCAGTGATGTGATGAATGGTGGTCCTGGACAGAAATCCTTCGGTCAGTGGGTGGTCCATGCTCGACTGTGGTCCTTGTCATCAATACAACATACTGAACTCAATCCTTCAATAATTTATTTCTTTATATCAGAGAATGTTTTTCAATCATAGATTTAAGTTTGCAAAGTTCAACACAGGAGTAAATATATGTAAAAAAAATCCTAGATGTGCAAATTTCAAGTTGCATTGTTTGAAATAATATAAATATTTTAATAAAACTTATGTTCACATTAATGTTCACAAAATATATAAAATTTAACAGAAATAAGAGTTATTTTAACTTTCTTTTTTAGAAACCTGTTTTTTTTAATAACTAGAAAAGATTCTAAACTTGAGAAGCAAATTAGAAGAGGTTATCACCTCCAACACAGTAGCAGCAAAACAGATGCTGAAAACTTAACAAGTATTAAAGGAGAGGAGAGAAGCAGGTATCAGGCACAACAGTATAGACGAGTTTGCTAAGGCACTGCAGAATGAGAAGTGAATGCATGAACTCCAGGAGTGAGATCTTGCTCCTGAAGTACCTTATTGCCAAGCTCCAAGCTGTAAGCATGATAACAGAATCACATTAAGGATTACAGAAGTGAGAGATTGGGAGTGAGGGGTATGAACAGCAGCATATGTATTTCTGACAATTATCATGGAAGAGAAGAAAGTTACTTTGGCTTCAGAACTGAAGCCTAAGATGTAGGGAAGGCTTCAGGGGTTTTTCAATATGTTGAAGGCAATGAGAGCGGAATTGCAGGGTTCGGTTTTCTCATCACATACATAGTTATAAAAGGTGCTTCTGTCATCATGTTATCTTTCCAGCTATCTTCAGCTTTGGGAAAGGATCTAAATAGTGGTTAAGTGTATTGAAGGAGCAGACCACTACTGGTCTTGTTCAACAGTGCAGCTTAGTTTGCCAAGGGCTCTGCAAACCCAGAACCACTCACTGTTACTGCCCTAAGCGCCTGCAGGAGCTCTAACCTTGTTGAGCTCTGCAAGAACACAAACAAGGAAACCAAAGCAAGTTTCTTCAGAGACCCTCTGTTTCAACTGCAAGATGCATCAGCCTGTCCTGGAAGACCTCGCTCAGGAGACTTGCCTCTGACCAATATACATCAACGCAGAGTTCCCACACCTCCAACAGTAGCTGTGGCTCCTTGTCTGGGAGCAGGGGAGGTATTGTGAAAGAGGCAGAAGCAGGAAGCTCTTTGGATTCAAATGCTTCAAACTTCCCATTGGGAAGTCCGAGAATTAAATACAGCACGATAGGAGCTTATTCGTGAAAGACAGCTCTGTGCAGAAAGCAACCAGCCCTTCTCAGCAGTCCTTGTATGCAGTGTTTAGAGGAATTAAATACTTATTCCCAAGAATAGGAATAAACAGGAACAAGAGCAGACAGCTTATATTCCCCCCCCACAACCTCCCACTCCCGGGACTGGTAAGTGTTTTGGATATAGCACCATTTCAGTTAGGGAAGTAGCTGGCACCTCGTTCTTCTTCACCAACTCTTCCTTCCTGCTAGCCATAGATCTGTTTGAACTGGTAGCACTCGTTGCAGTAACCATTGCACTTGGTATTGCCATAGTGGTCACAAGCAGGGGCTCGGCAGCGCTGCTTCGGGGTCTCGTCTGCAGCTGGCTCCCTGGGACTCCCCAGCTGCGTGATCTGGCTGCGGCGCTGGCACTCCTGGCACAGATCCTCACTCCTGCAGGCCAGGTTGTTCCGACACGAAGCCACTGCACACTGTCTCTTCTGGCTAGTCATTGCTGCTCGCTGCAGATCTCTGCGCTGTCCTGTTCTCTAGAAACACATGAAAAACACTGTCAGTTATCATGCTGGCGACACGCGTGGCATTTCCACTTACTTTCAGCTGTGCTAATGTGTTGTATATGTAACCCTGCTAGCGAACACAGACAGCAGACCGGTGTGAACAGTGCAAGGGCTGTGGGACACTGCTCTGCAGAGCAGAAAATTCCCATTGAAGCTAGTGGTCTTTTCAGCTCCTAGGAAGACACACACATCTTCTGAAGGGCGTGATACCACAGAGCTGAGTTGGGCTTTACCAAAGATCATCATAAACACTGTCATTTCTTGGAAAAACTGTTTTTTTGTCTTTGGTAAAACTCAATTCTAGAGCCAAAACAAATCAAATGAAAAAGCCTGAAACAAACTTACATGCTCAACGAAAAAAAGCAACATGAAACTGACTATGTTACTTGACATGATTGCATAGATCTAAAGGTAAGGACAAAAATCTCTCTCCAGCCAGCAAAACAACTGTTGGTCCAATTGCTTCCAGTGAAATTGGCTGGTGAAATTCCAGTCAGGCAAAGCTGAACACAGCCATGCTCACCCTAAACTGAGAACAATCTCAATGGTGCTGCTCAGTTGTAGGGAGTGAAAATCATGAGATACCTTGCACTTGTCTTCCCATGACACTTAGAAAAATCTAATGTTGCTGCATCCCTGTAACATGCTTTGAGTTGTTCTCACAAGAGAAAAATCACGCTAACCAAGATTTTCAAACTTCATACTTACTTCGGGCTGTCTCACGAGCTGTTCCTCTGTTCTTCTGGCTTCCTGAAATCGCTGGCTCTGGGCTTTAATGAAACAGTTCTGGCAGTAGCCTTCCAGCATGGTGCTACCCAGGGTGCCACAGTTGCGCTGCTGGCAGGACATGTTTTTGTGGAAGGCTGCAGCAGAGCTCCCTTGCTGACCAGCTGCTGAGGAATTCCTCTGAGATCTCCTCTGATGGCGTAGCAAAGAACTGTCTGTAATGCAAAGTAAGGACAGGGGGAGTTTGAATAAGCCCAACAGATCGGGTGACCCAAAGTGACTAAGAAAAGCTCTTCATTTTACAAAGAAAAAAAAAATCTACTAGCCTCAAGCATGGATTTTGGACAACCCACAGACCCCTCAGTCCTTGCACTTTCCAGGAACTGCTCCAACAGCTGATTTGATAAAAACTTGCCCTCGGCACAGAAATTGGATTCCCCTGAAATCAAGGGGAATTTCACCACTGCTTTCAGAGTATTGCCTGTGATATTCCCAACTCTTCCTTCCCTTTCACCCTCCCCTGTTACAATCACATTGGGTAACGGAACAGAGCTAAATGGGTTAACATACCCTACACTTATTAATCTCACGAGGCAATCATATATTCCACAGTCGTAAGGAAAACATTTTTCCTTGTGACCAACACTGCAAAGAAGCTTTTGCAAGCTTTTCAAAATTTACACAAGCTCATAATTTAAAAAGATGTGAAAAGGGCAGTATTGGCTTGTTTGTCAGCAATGAAAGAGGTGAGCATTATTTCTCTTACACATGTCTTCTGCCCTCTGTACCCAAGGACACTTTGACTGTGTAATCAACCAGAAACATGGAAGTTGAAGATTTCAAGACATGATTTATAGACAGTTACTTTTTTTTTTTTTATGGGCTTGACATGTGCACAAATATACTTGATACTACCAAGAAAGACTTCAAGGTACATTATAATAATATACTCCTATGTCACTACAGAATACTTACTCTGTATTAGCTTGCACACATGTTGTATTTGCACATTTTTTTGCACATTTTTTGCATATTTGCACAAATTTTGCCTGCTTTGTTTATTGAAGTGACTTCAGTAGTTACTCCAGAGTGTTATACCTGTTTTATCTTGAAATTCACACCAAGCTTTTTAAGCTTGCCTTAAAGCTTTGCCTTACAAACACAGCTGCTTTTCAGTAGCATCACTACAATACCATTTCCCCCACCAATTCCTACAACTTCTCTAGTTATTATGATGTTTAACTGGAGAAAATTCATAGCAAAACATTACTGCAGTTGAAAGGCATTAAATGCGACTCTTCACTGACTACGTTTTGCTTCCACAAAAGACTATGGGAAGCTCTACAACAGATTTCACAGAAGTCCCCCATGTTACTGCATGCCTCTTTCTTGGATAATAATGGCAAAAAACACAAAAAACACGCTGCTAGTTGTGCTCCACACTGTTTCTGCCAACCCCTGCTTTTTTAGGGCACAGTGTGTGTTGAGCTTTAGTTTCACAATCTGCACCGCATCTGACAGAGCTCACTTACCATGGTTTTCCCTGTACTCAAAGAAACACAGCGTGCAGAAGCCCTCATTCTGAGCAGTTCCAAAGAACTTGCAGCCAGGTTTCCTGCAGAGTTTACTTCCCCTCTTCTCCTCCGGACCGTGTGGGGTAGGAGGCAGCGGTGCCAGTGGTGGCTCTTCACAGTTGTTGGGAGCCTGATGGCAAGGATGCTGAAGGAGGCTGGGTGACATCTGGGATGGGTCAGATGTAGATCTCTGGTGGCACATGGACAGAAAACCAGGGCCACCATTCGAGGAGCGCTCTGTAGTCCTTTTGAAACAAGTGCTGCACATGCCATTAAAGGTCCTGTTGGCCTTCTGCAGGCAGCCTTTACACGTGGCATAGTCTACCTGTCTCTGGTCATCCACATTGTTACAAGGAGCACGCTGTCTGGAATTGTAGCAGCGTTCGCAAAGTCCGTTGTGTTGCACGTTCAAGGTGAAGGGACAGTCTGGGGTCCTGCATTTCATGGCAGTGGTTTCACTGTAGAGGAAGAGGCTCGGAGCAGTTGGAGGCGCGGAGCGAGGCCCTGCGGACTCTTCAGACATCCACCCCCCAGGTTCACAGACCTCACCGCGGGAGGAGCCTGATCCAGCTACTTTTAGTTTCTCAGGTGCTGCTTTAGGGGTCTGCTTTCTGCCTTTGGTTCCCTGTGACCTCCGCTCAAAGCACTCATGGCAGTAGGGCTGAGTGTTCACAGACATATAGAAAGGGCAGTTCGGAGTTTCACATTTCACCTGTAAGAGGGAGAGCTGGGAAAAAGACAGATCCTGTCTGGCCCTGGGGCAGGTCTCTCTTCTAGCAGGCTCAGCATTCT